TGGCCAGCATAAACGCAATAATCGCCTTCAGGTATACTGAACGTCTATGTCCATTTTTCGTGTTCTCCTTACGTGTTATAATCTTGACGTCCGTACTCTCATTAGTGCCATACCTGGAGCCAGTTTCCCTGGGAATAGAGCTCTTCTTCTACATCAGAGGCAGCAAATAAACTGGAAGTTCTCTTTGAATCATTCTTTATTTTTGAATAAAAATTATTAAGACAATATTTATAATAAGAAGAAATCTACTGTACTTTTTCTATGAAACTAATTTATACTTAAATACATGCCTATTAATGCAGGAATGAACAAATATTTTCCTAAAATCTTTAATGTAAATTGTAAATATTTGTAGCAAGCTGTAGGCTTTAAGTCTAATAAAAATGAGGGAGTAAGAATTTCCCTGTTTTTTCCTTATATTATTCACTTCTCTAATTCTAAGAACTCTCTGGAAATTCTGTCCTCTCAAACCGTGCCTCGTATAGGATTCTTGTTCAACGTACCCAATCCACAAGATTCAAATTTTCCTTGGTACCTGAACACGGCATCACGTGACCCATATTTCTCGATGATAAAGGAAGATACCCAACATTGAGTAGTCTCTTGACTACGAAATACACACACACACACACAGATATTTAAGGTACACGGGCAATTATTAAACTCTAAAACGACCCTCGTTAAAAAACGGAATTTTTCAGATTCTCCTTAGTGTCATGTGCCATGTCGACATCCCCTTCCCTGAGTCTAGAACGTTAAAAACGAGGAACAATGAAAATTAAGAAACATGGTATAATAAAAATTTCTGAATATTTCTGCTTGTTTTTTAAAACCAACGTGCGCAAATGAAGTCGCAAAACTCAACAAATAAAATGGGAGCAGCGACGGGACAAGAAGAAATCTAAGTCTCAGTCACCAGTCTCACACCTCGTCCTTTAACATTAAAATGATATTAATATGACACGTAATGCAGTACAGACTTAAATTTCAGTATCAAAATTTCAGCGCCTACGCTTCTTAGTAGTTAGCTCCATCTTACTCTCAACCGAAGTTGGTGGAGCGTGACGGACGGAAGGATATTCGTGTTTGTAGATGGGCCACAAATTGGATAATTTTCAGATCCTCTAACTCTGTTTCGCTGTCTTTGCCACTTTCCATATAAATTTTTCTTATTACACAAATTCACAAACCTAATGATAATTGAAGCTACTATTTACCCGGAAAACCGGACGCCTACCCATTTACTGAGCCTGCTTTCTTCAGAAGCCTCTGTCTTCATTCAAATGTTGTCTTTTTTTTTGATCCCGAATTGTTGTTTTTAAGCAAATCGTGTGGAATGTTTAAAAATATAGGTCACAATATGCGATTTCTGTCCGGTGTGATTTTTAAAATGTTCAGCGGGTTGCTCGTGCTCCTGATTTGCGATTTGCAGTCCCCGTTAACAAGTCTGAATATTACAATTTCCCCCCCCCCCATGGCACACAATGCCTGCTTTCAGGATTCTGTTGCACGGGTAGCTTTTCCCTTGTCCAGCACATGGTAAGTGTAGGCATCTTCCGCACTCAATCCTGCTGACAAAGAACACAAACACGAGTATTAGGGACAGGCGAATAATGCAACCTTATATTTTGAAAAACCTCTGGTGGAGAATCCCAGCTTCTTTAAAGAAAATGCAACACAGTACACCCCAAATAACATTTGGGAATTCAAACCACTTTTCAGTTAAATTCGATGTGATTTAATTCACTTTTTTAGTCTAAAAGTTAAGATAATCCTTAGACACTGGCTGAGAGATATCTGCAACACAATCGGCAAAGGTAACGCAAAATAATGCAGGGGAGTATGCCAACAAATAAATAAACAGTAAATGGCTGTTTATAAGATATTATTTTCATATGTTTAGAGGACCTGCGAATCCTATGAATATCCTGTTAGATTCACTGGGTTCGTGTGGAATCAGGCTGGGTTTGTCAAAAATCTACAATTCGAATTTCTAGGAGCAAACTGTCATGAACTGAACAAACGGAAACTGGATACAGATAAGTGGACTTGTATAAATTTCACAGGTGTTTTCAAGTTATATTATCATGTTACCTAGAACAAATATGGGTGTCCTTAATCTCACCTCGTGAATGTATATCTCATGGAACAATATCCGTAACTAATTTCGCTAGGAGCAGTAAAGCTCGAATTTTATATTTAAATGCCTTGGCCCCATAAGTATTAACATTTCTCGTGGCAATTATGACTCAGTATATTATATGTACATAATTTACCTCTTATGAATAAGCGCTTGAGAGCATAGTCTCTGTTACAAAAGTGATATTAACAGATTTGTTGAGTTTACACCTCAGACAATCAAAATTACTTAACTTTTTTTCATGTTTGTAGTACTGTATTCTTGGAAGAAAATCAAATTTACTTCAAGTAGTTCATATACATGGGATTCTGAGTCTCCGTTTCAAATCGGGCGGTGAATCCAAATAAAAGATTTGATTATTTCTTACTGAAAACCGTCATAGCACAATTAACATTAATAGGTGTAAGTAGCACTAGGAGCAATTTTGTTACTCATTTCGGCCTTCAATAGGTCATCTATCTCTCCATCAAATCGGACATTTTCACAACGGAGTCGCCCGTCAAATAGTATCAAATATTAAATTATAACATATAACATTAACGGCCTCCAAACACCACATAAGCCATTGGTTATTTACACGTAATATGTCCGTATAAGCATTATATATTGTAACGTGCTTCTGGTCACTGAAGACGCCGTAGAGATGGTTAATTGGTTTATTCAACAATCTACAAGTAACGGCTACAATTAATTATTACACAGTTGCGGGGTTTCACACTTTATAACCCTAATCGCATTAATCTGTTAACACTGTTGCGGGGTTTCACGATATAACCCTATGCGCAACTCAGTTCACTCTGTCTTCAGTAGTCTACACGTATACAGTCGGGGAGCTGTGTATCACTGTATCACANTAACTAACTTTTGACTATGTAACTGGTTATTTAAGACTTCAACTTTTATTGTAATTTATATTTTATATTCACTCATATATTTTTATACCTTTGTATACACTTGGAAATTTAGCACTGTATTCTGTAATTGACATGTAATTCAGTAACGAAGAGTTTAATGTATGTGCCTGTTGATGAACTTTTGAAGGCCGAAACATATAGCAAAGTACCCCTTGGATTTCCTTACACGTATTATGAATTGCTCTGTTATGACGGTTTTCAGTAAGAAATAATATTTGTTACACTACAGGATAGCAAAGTACCCCTTGGATTTCCTTACACGTATTATGAATTGCTCTGTTATGACGGTTTTCAGTAAGAAATAATATTTGTTACACTACAGGATAGCAAAGTACCCCTTGGATTTCCTTACACGTATTATGAATTGCTCTGTTATGACGGTTTTCAGTAAGAAATAATATTTGTTACACTACAGGATAGCAAAGTACCCCTTGGATTTCCTTACACGTATTATGAATTGCTCTGTTATGACGGTTTTCAGTAAGAAATAATATTTGTTACACTACAGGATAGCAAAGTACCCCTTGGATTTCCTTACACGTATTATGAATTGCTCTGTTATGACGGTTTTCAGTAAGAAATAATATTTGTTACACTACAGGATAGCAAAGTACCCCTTGGATTTCCTTACACGTATTATGAATTGCTCTGTTATGACGGTTTTCAGTAAGAAATAATATTTGTTACACTACAGGATAGCAAAGTACCCCTTGGATTTCCTTACACGTATTATGAATTGCTCTGTTATGACGGTTTTCAGTAAGAAATAATATTTGTTACACTACAGGATGCATTCCCTGAAAATCGAATGATTTGATTGGTCGCACAGAGGAGATAACGTGTCGGGTCCCACAAGTAGTTCGTGAATTTAATTTTAGTCTTACAGCTTACATACAAATCGACTGAAATTCTGTAGTTAGTACATAAAATGAGAATATTTTAACAAAGCAAAATCCTAATAACGTTAAACTGATGGCCGTGCCATAGCTCAAGCGGTTAGCCGCTGGCTCCTCACGGGACCGGCTTGTATTAGAAGCCGGGTCTTGTCAAGTAAGATTTGTGGTGGACATTATCCTCTCTTCCACGGGTTTGAGACCGAAGCTAGGCACACTTATCCTCCTCACCAAAGTGCATCAGAAGCTCTTTCCTCAGGAATCCTATAGCCAAAGATCTTTTTCACGATGGCGAGGCTAAAAATTGGCGGCACTACACCTGCACAACGCCATATTTTATTACGTTATTTTACTTTTACGTTCTCAGAGAAATGTAAGGGATAAAACATATGTCATTTCGTACGTCTGATTAAACGCTGTTAGTGGTCTAACAGACCAATTTAAACTCTGTCAAAGAATATCCCTGACTTGGTTCATTATCGTTACGTTTTCCACGCTGTAGGTTAATGTGTTGCAAGAAAGAGAAGAAGGTGCCGTTAGAAGCGTCTATGGATAATTTCATCTCTATTGATTTCTCGTGCAGAGTACCGTGATACTAATGTACATGTCTCAGTATACTCTCCGCCCAAACACATACATTTACTGTGTTGGCTCTCTGCTCTATTCGCCTTCCTCCAACTCTTCATCCGAACATGACTCGCCCTCCAGTGTGGCAGGCACGTCTCTGGCGCCTGAGGTCGTCGCCTCCTCGGGCTGTGTACCACTCGTCAACAAAGTTCTCTGCAAATAAGAGACCACCCCATTAAATTGAACACTCACAAATATGTTCTTCTTCTCTCAACTAATGACAACAAATGCCACTGAAAAATATAACCCAGGAATCTGGACCGATTATTGTGGCTTTCTTACTCCGAAAAAGGGAACGCTTCATTCTAGTTCAACAGAATTCAAGACTTTCTCTTTTATATACTTTGAAATTTGTCACCATTTGTTCTGTATCAAATCTTTTGATACTTTACTCCCGTATATAACGTGATAGCCAGTTTTTATCAGCATTACGCTTTTCTGTATCATGTGTGAGAGACATCGACTGTCTTCCCAAACTGAACCCTTACGTCACTAGAAGCCTCCCAAGCTACTACTTTCTTTCTTTCTTTCTCATATTTAAAATCTGCGCAATTTTAGCAAATGAAATGTGAATGTGTCTGCATGCTCATATTCAAATAGAGAGCATCTCAAATTCTCAGTAAGAACGCAACCATTCTCCTGAAAACTTCAGTGAGAGCGTAAGGATGAACAAAATATTTACAGAAAGAGAGACAAATATTATGTTGCCCTCATTCATATAAGTCCCTTAATTTCGCATCCTATATGTTACAAAAGTAATATTCTGGAAAAATTGTTTACTTTTCCAGTAACAGCAATAACTAGATTCACAAGTCCTAAGGTTAGCTCTGTCTAACTGACCAAAAAGAGTAGTCGATTCCTCCTTCACTTCAGGAATGAAACAGACCCTGTTTCGGAAACGTTGTGTTTAGAAATTTTTAGAACAGCTATAGCTATAGACAAAATCCAAAAACCCAATAATTCCGACTGTATACACCTTTGTCAGCATCCTTTAAAATCTACTTCAAACGTTGTCTCACCTCGTGTTGCATAAGAAAGTGGTGGAAGAAATGGCAGATATTTTCGAAGAGGAAGGCCATGTTCAACACATGTAGAATATAGTTATTATATTAAAATATCTTGTGTACAAACGACACAGCACGCACGTGAACTGTACTCTAATAATAAGAACATAAAACCAAGATTAATAAACGAAATCTCCCACTATCAGGAGGAAAACAACATGACCCAATGTCGGCTTAAGAAATTTTAATATAATAACTAATTGTTTATATGGAAATTTTAATACAATTTTAAATACATTGGGAGGAGGCTATTGTATGGAAAAGTGAACCATATTGCGTGCAGTGAAAAACCGTGGTCAGAATAACCAGGAAATACACTAAAAGAAGCTCATCATAAGTAAATCTACATTTCAAGAAGCGCCATTGTGCGTACCCAAGTTAACATCGGAAACAACGTGACAACAAAATTTATATAGAGAGCATTAGTCATATCTAAAGTGCATATTGTTAGAATAACTTATGTAACAGTGTTCACTTATCGTAGTGGTGCGCCTCTGAAGATTATTCTTTTGAATAGAAACATGTAAGGCGAATGAGGACTGAAGTGTTATGAACTCGTATGTCACACTGGGCTGAACTTTTCATTATCTACTCTGGAATGAGTGCTTGTTCCTACATTGTATGTCTGCACACAACATGAGACGTTTAGGTGTCCCCCGACTCATCCTCAGAGAACTGGCATGCGTATATTCCCTGTCGAACGAGACTAAACACAAGGGAACCGTACATTGCATTGGAGCGCACAGAGACCTGTGCACTCCTTAAGATTAATATTTTACTGGCATTAATCATACAGGCGGTTCTTTGGACTAGGCATACTATGATTCCGTCACAAAGAACTCAGTTTTTTGCATTTTATAAAGATCATACAGAAACCCTGGCCCGGCGCCACTTTGTCCACTACAAATCCCAATTAACCAGAGCCGGGATCGAACCCGGGCCGCAGCAGTAGGAAGCAAAACAATAAGCGCTTGAGCTACGCCGCGGCAATAAACGGATGCACTGTTTTGCAGTCCACTTCAGGACACAATTCACTAATTCTCTGCATGGCCACGGTTCAATTCAGCTACAGACATTTCGTCTTCTTGCCGAGTTATGAAACCTCATTTGTGGAAGCAAACACAACGAAGTTCGTTATAGCTTTCAAAAAATTCTCCACCTGGACCTGCCAGAACGTTCTACAATTTATCGTTACCATGAAATTGAACTCGTTTCAGTTTCATCTTTTCACTGAACACAGTGTTTTTAATGTTATTTTCCGCAAACCTTCCCTCCTTCTATTAATGGGTCTGAAAATTTTGCAGCCACGATTACTTCATCCTCTGCTCTAAGACCAGAGATATGACGTATACTGAATGTTAGATATTACCACAGCAATAATTAAGATATTCTGCTTTTATGTATAAACATGTGGTTATAAATATGTTACGAAGAGTGAAGTGTATTCATGAATCATAACTTCAATGAATAGTCTTGATTCATCCTAAGCAGTTTAGAAACATGGTTATGAATCACGTCATAGCAGTTGAGCACAGTTCAGTGGAGCAATTGCTTAGTTAATAAGACAACTGCCATGGTGAAGCTGGTAGCTGTGACACGAGGATATTTCGGGAGCCCTGCCGTTCGAAGCCTTTACGAGGAAAAGAGTGGTTAAGATATGGAAGATTAAGAAGTCCTAGTGTGGGTTCTATTGAACTGCAGAGTGTGTGAATTGGCTATAGGAATATAGATACATGCCGTCACGATCTATAGAAGTTATGAAAATCAAATTATCATTCAAATTTCATCTATAGTTAAAATCTAAATCGTGAGGAAATTTTGAATATTAAGTGAAAAGACGTAAGTAATTGCCCGGGTGCGGAGTATTCCTACGTGTGTGCCACTAGGCTATCGTACACTCCGTCTTAGTCGTGCTGTTAGTTACAAATGCTACAATAGCTTCTGCCATAATTGTGCCATGTAAATTCCGATGCTGTTAATTAAAATAGAGCCGTATCCGTTCGCCTGATAAATGTCAGATTTTGTGCGGCCGGTGGAAATATAGGAGAAGGGGTCACCGCAGAGCTGTAGTTTTTTAAATTTACTGCATTTTAAGTTAGCACACACTCATATTGATACCTCGCTATTGGTTAATTTATTTAAAAGGAATCAGATAAACAATTAAAATCGAATTAAATTATTAAGTACACGTATAATGAAACCAGTGACGTGGAACTGGAGGAAAGATTAACATCACTGCTAATGCGGAAACACGGATAGTATCGCTGGGATCATAATCATTTTACACATTCCGATGCCTCGCTTATTACTTTCCCTACATTCTGTCCTTTCCTTCTTCAGTGAAACTTACCTCAAGACCGTGAATTTTCTTATGTCTATTCAGGTTGTCCTTTCGGGTGAATCGCTTGTTACACACATCGCATTCAAACGGCTTTTCTCCTCTGTGAGTCTTTAGATGCCTGTTAAAGGTACCCAGTTGCGTGAAACTCATCTGACAACCCTCATACTCGCAAACAAATGCACCTTCCTTATTGTGCCACCTCTTGTGAGCATTCAGTTCTGGTCGCGTTTTGATGGATCTCCTGCAGCCCGTTACGTCGCAATTTCTCTGCAGAAATTAGGCAAATTTGTTCATATTAGAAATTAAGGTAATCATGTGTCGTACCACAAAAATATGTTTCCTCGAAGCTTGTACCAATTAATAAATAAATTTTACGTTTGTATTTAATGACATACATATTACGTTTAACTGTATACTCAGTGTTGTTTCCACTGTTAGGAATAATGTTTCATGTTGTAACCGTTTCCCTGCCGTGCTGCCTATTTAAATATGATCAATGCTATTAATTTGAAATTTAATTGTTTGAATGTAAGGACAGGAACAAGTGTAGTGAGACTTAGTTCCATCCTTGTATTTAAAAGTTAGCCTCTTCCCACGCTTACAGTAGAAACAGGGAGATACCCGGTGTGGGTTTATTATGGAAAAGTTACGTAAAGAATAGCTAAAGAAATCTTTTGTGAATTCTTTACTTGACATTTTCTACAAGCCATTATTTTAACTGAGTGATGGGTTTACGACCCAAGCCACGCTGCACATTCGTCATTTTTTTGACAGGAGTTCGTTAAGACACAATTTCTTTACCCCCTTTTAAGTGTTAAAGTGATTGGAGGAATGTCTAATTAGAATACCTCTAAATTTTAAACTGACCAATCACGGAAATTTAAGTGTGTGACAGAGCAGGGTCGCTGGTGAAAGCCAGGACTTGAACGTCCGGGGAAGCGTCAGTTGTCAGCGTCAGTCGCACATCGGGCTCCGAAGCAATCAGACGCGAAAAACGCTAACACCGGCATAATAAGAAAGAAGAAAAGTCTCATACTCCGCCTTGAATAAATCAGATTTATAAGTTACTCGCCAGACTTCAGTTCAATGTGGTGTAATTCTTGTATAAGCCAGAAGAAAAGTTATACTGGTGTTATTCAATTAGACGGTGTTAAGGAGTTGACCGAATCAAGTCTGGTAGTAATCAGTTAAAACCCCGAAAGTGGTTTAGTTAAATAAGAGGAGCAAAACAAATGTCTTCTAAATGATAATAATAACAGCAGTTAAAACTAATATCTGCTTTAATCTACAATAATCAATAAAAGGGTCGATAGAAGTGTTTAGTAATGAGAATAATAATACCTCTGAAATTCGAGTGCGGTGATGTTGTATATAGTGTTCTACCTGCCTTTCTGAGTTGTGGCCCGTTAAGACCTTGAGACAGAGAACTCAGCTCTGCCGCTCCCAACAAACTCTCCCTTGTTAATTCTATCAACCCTGAGAAGATAAATTAAGAAGAAAACGTCGCAACAAGTCCAGTTAAGGAAGTGGCAACAAGAACAACAACGTCGAAGAAGAAGAAGAAGAAGAAGAAGGTCAAGGGTGGAGAGGAGCGGTTAAAATGTATACGGAAATTATTAGAAACGCTCCATTAAAACTATTTCCAATGCCCACACAGATACATAATGCTGGTGACAAATTGTTGCGCCCCACAATTCGAAAACTGACCCAACAAGGACAATCCCGAATAAGAATAATAAATTCGTCTCTGAGAAGAAGAACTATGAAAGGAAAACGTATATTAACTTGCAATGTCATTACTTTAATTCGATCCACATAATCTTCGCGCCTGTATTCAGAAATGTACTATGCATTAACTTTCTCATATTTACAAATACTCTCCTCTATCTATATATGTTCAGGAGCACTGCCGCAGCTCCCCTTCATTTCGCAGGCGCCATTCTCATGTCAACAAATGATGGATCTGTTTTGGAAAGAATGAATAAGTTGCATGTTTCTATCCAGGCACATTAACCTCCCTGTCAAATTCAAATCCACCAACAGCTTAATATACAGGCATGTCGTTTCATACTCTCAATACTGACAGTCTAATTAATGAATTAAGAATTTCATATCCGTAAATAATTACTCAGATATGACACTTCATAATTACTGTA